GGCGGCCCTCTGCTGGCCGTACGTATGGGTCGTGTCTTTGTGTTGGTTGTTGTGAGCGGACGGCGGAGACATCGATGGGTCCGTCCACTCGAGCGGCCGCTTCAGTGTCGCGCAGGCCATCACTTACGGCAATACTAACGACAATTAGTGGTCAACCGATCGGCGGATGTGTCTCACGATAGGCGAGAGAGACGGACAGAGCGACAGAGCCTTTTTGATCGCTAGTATTGATTAGAAAGCAGTACTAATGAGTACTACGACGACAACAACAGTGACGGCCAACCAATGGATCAATACTCGCGATCAATGGATCGATTCAATCGAGTGATGGCTCAGTAGTGGCGAAGACAACCGATTCACTGCAGTCTGTGTCCCAAACTCAACGAAACTCGCAAATGATTTAATGTAGAAATGAAACGAAACACTGATTTGCGATCCAATCACTCAATGCTTCTCAACACTACTGCCAGTCGTATGTATTGCTCACTATTACTGCCTCTCTCTCTGTATTGTATTGTAAATGAGTTTCTGTGCACAAAATGACCGTTTGTTTGGTTTGTTTACAATCACTCAAAGGCTGAGAGAAATACAAAAAAAACCTTTAAATCTCATTCACACGCAACGCATACACCCATACACTCACTCAACACTGTGTTAACTCACGCCCAAACACTTCGGCACTATTTATAACAATGAGTGCTATTAGTAATGCCATTGATTTGTGTGCTTTACTGCTAGCGATAAAAAGTGCCGATTTGTGTATCGAAAGCACTCGAAAGTACTGTACGTTTCCAACAATAAGTGTCGCATATTTAGCGCGAGATGTCGACAGTTGTTTGGGTTGTTCTGATTGGTCAGCGTTTGGCTAACACTAACTGACACTGCGTTCAATTGGTTGTGAACTTTATGTCCACTCTTTGTGTGAAACAAACAACAAAAGTACACAAAATTGTCATTTGATTGTAATCTCCGATAAAGTCGTCCCTTAATTGTGAGTCCGATTGAGTGGACGGAAAGTATTAATCTATAATCGCTATAACGAGAGTACACTATAACCCCAATTAAGTGTACACTATATACAGCACACGTACTGTACTATTAAGTATTGCCAACAGTTATTGACATCATTTTTCCAGTGAATTGTGTGATCACGTGATTGCATACCAAACTTGAGTCAAACGCCATTTGCAGTACAATTATAAGCGAGAAATAAGAGAGTATTTAATACTGATTTTCAATTGAATAAATCAATTGAAATTATGTCTAATCATTGAAAACATTAATTAAAAACAACCGATTCGTCAGTCGTCTCATCGATTGCTTCTTCTGGTTATTATTCTTCTGCTTCTTCTGGAGTGAAGGTATACGCGATGTCTACCACTCAAGTGTATACCACACCGAACGCCGTAACCAATGGCCACCCAATGGACACGTCTCGGCCCACACTCTCCGCTTCGTCGTCGTCGGCGGCGACTACTGTCGAGTCGAGCGACGGCTCGTCCTCATCGGCGGCCGGCACTCAATTGTCGCAGATTATGATCAACTATAACAAGATCTCGCAGTCGCCGCCGATGAACGGCTCGACCGATTGGTTGAACGGCTTTTACGATTTGATGCGAACCGAATGGACGCGTTTGCGCACATTTCACGCCCGACAAGACTGGCCGCACCGCTTCATCACCGCAGAAGAGTTGGCGAACGCGGGCTTCTTCTACACCTCCAATGAGGATAGAGTTCAGTGCGCTTTCTGTCGAGGAGTGGTCTCGCACTGGAAGTCAGGTATATATCACTTGAGATACACATTGTTGTTGTCATTGTCTGGTCTGTCCTCTAGTTTTGTGTCCATTAATTGTCTCTTTATTTTAATTTCAATGGTTTTCTTTGTTTTAAATGAATAATTAGTTCGTGTTTTCGATGAATATGTTGTGCGGATTAAGGTCTCGATCTGACTGTCTTAGGGTTGTGTACCCTCTGTGCTGACCATTAAGCCCACACTCTCTAGCCTTTTGTGCTTTACTTATAATTGATTTGATTTCTTATACCTATAAATACTTAAGATTTTGTATTTATTTTAATACTATTTCTTAACATTTAAGGCATTCAATAGATATCTGTTTTGAACTTTGAATATCACTTAAGCTTTAAAACATCTGATATTTGAAATAATGAATTATTTTGTGATGAAAACTAATTGAAATGATTTGTTAACAATATTTGTATTTTGTCTTTTGCGTGGATCTGGTATTTGATGCAATTAATGGCCAAATGTGTACAATTGTAGTGCAATTGAGTGCATAAAACGGATAACTTCTAAGCGACTGCTGTAATGATAGGCGTATCCCCTCTTATGGAGAGTTTATCCGTTTTATTGAGTCGATTGAATGCTATTTAACGGAATCTGTGAATAGGTTTTTGTTAGACAATAGTTTTCAATCGATTGTAGTTTTATATACATATATGTATAGTATTTGTGGTATAATTTTTGTTTGTTTTTTGACGTCTTATTGATTTGATATAAACTAACGCTTTATTGTTTCGTTGCCAATCAGGAGACCGAGCGCTTAGTGAACACAGCATTCACTTCCCATTGTGTCCGTTCATAATGGAGATGGACGTCGGGAATGTGCCCATCGGTAGAGATCCCATTCGCGACCCTAAGGCCAGACACGATGTCTGCGGAAATATGAGTTCATATGGAGACACGAATTCAGTGCTGAACTCAATTTCGATCAATAGAAGAGATGTCGATATGAAGGCATTGGATACACATATGAGTGAATTTGGAGTCCAACCCCACAACGGACCCAAAAATCCCGAATATAACTCGATTGACGCCCGAAAGCGTTCCTATTATATCAATGGTTGGGATCAATCGATTCCCGTATCAATGGATAGCTTAGCTGAGGCCGGCTTTTTCTCAGTCGGTGTGTATTATAGTTTTTAATTTAATTTTATTACGTTTATAAAAGTTGTGATGAAATTTGGTGTCAATTTTAACTTTTACTGAGAATTTTGGTTAGTCATGAATTTTACTCGAAATCTATCATATGTTGAACACGTGAACAGTAATTTGAAACTTAGATTATGATAATCACGATTGAAATGCAAACGTTTTGCATTAATAAACACGTAAACAAATGACTTAATCAACAAAAATATAAATAAAAAC